GCGGCCCGCAACAATATTGAAAAAAAAGGCGGGGAAAAGAAAGCTCACCTCCGGAAAGTCTCCCTTGCGCGCGGTTTTCTGGGTGCCGCCGCCTGCAGCAGTCGCAGCCTCCACCTTCTTCCGGTCAGCCTTCACAGTCCTAACAAACCCCTCCGAGCACCCGAAGCGGTCTACAACCTGTACTTGAGAGACCTTCGCATCCAGCAGCTTGAGAATCTCAAACTTCGTGTTGCTGTCCGGGCGCGCACGAACACCCCCCTGATTGCTCCCACCGCCCTTGTCCTTCTGGCGCTTAGATGGTCCCGCCCCAGCACCGTCAGCTGCTGCCGCTTTGCGCTTGCCAATCCTGGTAACGCACGTGCTGCATATACGGTGCGTCTCGATGTCGTCAAACACGCTGCCGCAATTGCCGTGGAGCCGCCCTCCACATCCTCCCTGGCAGACGTGGCCATGAGGGTCTTGCGGCGTTCTGTCCTGTTGAAGGCACAGTAGTTCACCTTCCGCACAAAGGGATGGTGCGCCTCTGCTTAGAGCTCTTAGGGTCTGCAACAGCAGGTGTACACTCCGTCACTGTGGAGCCTGTCCGCTGGTGTCGTGGTGTGTGTGTGTGTGTGTCTACAGCAGTAGGGAACCGGCACTATTGGGGGGCACAGCGGCGCCCAACCGGCACTATAACGGGCCATTCCTCAATAATGCCGGCCCGGCACTACTGAGGGCGCTGTCTGTGTCCAGAAATGTTACCGGCACTATACCGGGCACCAGCACTATTCAACCGGCACTATAGCGGGCCCCCCACTGTACTTAGGTATAGGTGATCAGTATATGTTTCTTATTCCATGGTGATTGGTAGCAAGCTAGCTCATGAGTCTGCCCCCCCTGTGTGCCCTCTTTAACCACTCGACAAAACTACAACAACCAGCCACCTCGCTGACGCAACAACGAACGCCGACAACGTCACCGGACCTGCGCGAGCACTGCCAGGTCGTCGAGAAACTCGATCGGCAGGACCTTGCCCCCCCGCTGCGCGTGCGTGTTCTCCACCGTCACCAGCCGGGACACCGGAAAGCACGGGTTGTTGCCCCTCACGGCCGCTTCGACCTGTCCAAGGCAGCCCCAGCCCAAGCAGCCGCACACGTGCCACGAAAGGCAAACACGGTTAGAGAAAACACCCTTAGAACAGCGATTTGTGTAGGTAATCAGCACCAGCACCAGCCCCAGCAGCCGCAAACATTCACGGAAGGCAAAAAAAACGCCTCGAGACAGCGATAAGTGTACTCCGTCCCAGCCCCAGCAGCCGCAAACATTCACTAAAGGCAAAAAAACACGCTGAAAGAAAACACGCTAAGAGAACAGCGAAATACGTGTCAACAACAGCCTTCACGGAGAGTTAGATCCGATTCGATCAGCAGTGTCGGGAAAGGTTGTGGAGAAAGAGGCCCGGGAAACAAGAGCCGGTGCGGGGCGCAAGAGCTGCATCAGAACCGAGGATGGAGTACATGACCTCAACACGCGCTCACATCACGTGCTACTACATGCAAACCCGCCCAACACGCGGTGCGAAAAACATACAAAAATCACTGACATGGCCCAGCCGGTTCCCTTGACTGAAAGGGCGTTTTGTGCTTGCCTGCTCGTCTCCATGAATGATGCGTGCAAGAATCATTTCCGGATTCGTTGCAAAGCTTGCCCCTCTCTCACACTCATCACCTAATTGGGTTTTACTTTTAAGCAGTCATATTACTCTCTCCCGCGCAATGACATAGGATTAGGAAAGACAGTACAACCTCAAAAGTAGACATCGCCGCACAGCAGAGTAGTGAGCGGCGGAAGCAGAAGGCCCGTAGACATGCACCGACAAAGGACGGTAGAAAGACATCACAACAACGAGAAAAGAACAACGATGCGATAAAACATGGTAAGCGCTGAGGAATAAATGCGACCAGGGTTACAATAGAGACGCACCGCCCGAAGATCCATCGTTCCGTCGGGAAGGTTTGTGAGTGGCCGGTATCCGATACCCCCGAACTGCGCCGCGTTTGCTTGCTCCCATAAGAACGAGTGAGACCTGCAGCAACATAAGAGGACGGCCGCGCGGGGCGAGGGGGGGCGTGCTACAAACATCACCATGTCTTGGACTTTGATGCTTCGAGCAGAGAGGACTGACACCTACCTTGAAGGCTTTGCTCAAGGATAGCGATGCCAACAAGAGTAACAACACTCCAGCACGGGATAGCTGCATGCTCGCGTAAGAATACTTCCGCCGAAAGGCGGATCGGAGCTGTTAACACGTGGTATTCGACGTAGGGAGAACAAACGTGTCAACATGTCAATACCCTCAACACACCAGTCCATCTTGCAAACAAAAAAACAGGTACAGCACAACAAGGGCAACAGCCCGCAGTACTCTCAGCGGGGCAACTAATCGAAGGCAAACAATACTAGCTAGTCCCACACGCGGCGGTGTGCTCTTTCACCGAGCAAGGAAACACACGTTGGCGGCAAACCACCACACGTACTTCTGAAACGGGAACAAGTGATAACGGTACTACTCCTGTTTCCTGATGAAACGGAGACGGGCGCCAACGGCACAGCAGTAGCAGCAGCAACAGCTGCAGACTCGCAAACTCACTGGTCTCCCACGATCATCTCCGATCCCCTGTTGGAGCACCAGATGAGGTGGCAGATCAGGTTGGCCATGGTGCCAGAGGGCACGAACAGGGCGGCCTCCTTGCCCAACACCTCCGCCGTCTCGGCCTCTAGCCTCTGCACGGTGGGGTCTTCGCCGAGAACATCGTCCCCCACTTCCGCCTGGCGGTGTTGATCCCCAAGGGCAGCAATAACGTCATGGGTAAACAAGCACCTCTGGTGCCATCACAGACAACGGCAATAATTACTGAAAACATATGAAATACGACCGCGTATCACGGCGCGGTGCATCATATGGTGCCTTGCCTACCTCTGTACATAATGCATACGTAGTGTACCAGGCGCGGCCGTTATACTACGGCGTATCAGAGATGGGAGCGAATGTGCTTGCTCGAGCTACTGTATCTCCTTCAGACACATGCTTTCAATACTGCTGTATCCGGGTTCAAGGCGGTGCAGCGGGTCCCACCTACAGTAGTGTTGTCGTGTTTGAAAGCGACTGCGCACAAATTCTGCGACGAAACTCACGGAGATGCAGCTCCCATATCCTGTTGTTGAATGGTGATCAAAACCGTCGCCGTTTCGATAACGCACCTATGTACGTCGGTAGGTTCGTACATTTTCCGCTTCGTCGGGGGCGGCGTTTTTGCCCTCAAAAGCTAGGATCTGCTCCTATCCTCACCCGTGCTATGTTCATCTCCGCCTAAGCTCCGCCGTTTCATCCACCTTCTAGACCAACCGTCAACGCTTACCCCTGCTATGTTCATCTCCGCCTAATCTCCGCCGTTTCAACCAACTTCTAGACCAATCATCAACGCTCGAAAGGCGGTCGAATTAGCATGAACCCTTGCCCTTACCGTAAAGGCGGCCTCATCAAAAAGGGGTTCTCGCTAATATGCGTCTACTTCTTGGCTTGGCGATGTGGGGCTCTGTGCTGTGCTGTGCTGTGCGTGGTCAATCGGAAACTGCTGACGATGCCGTCCAACGCTCACCAAAAGCAAGTGTCCGCTTTCGTCGGACCACTTTCGTCCAACAGGCAGATAAATTGCATGCATACTCTTCCGAGAGTTCGCGATGCGAGCCAGCTCCCTAATCCGACAATCAACTACTCCGTAAATCGCAAGTACATCCTTTCATCTTCAAATTTGTGGAGAATTTGAACGAACGCTATCAACGCCCATGGCCAATATTCTGTCTCACAAACACGGGAGGTCTAGGAAGTACTTCGAAGGAGAGAGTGGTCGCACAGGACAATAAGCTCCTGCTGTAAAGACGGGATGACGGAAAGCTTGAAAAAAGAGCCGACATGGCACTGATTGGCTGCTGCTGTTATGTAGCTGCAATATATATATATATATTGTAACCACCGGCGTGACTATCACCGCTATGGTAGCAAACAAACCGAACTAGCATTGAGACAGGTCCAGCCACACTATCTTTGATCAACAAGTGGGACCGGAAACGGCATGCGAGAGCTGCAATAAGGAGTGCGCCTGGCACTAGTCGGCGAAAGCGACATTTCGATGGTTCAGGTTTCGGATTCTTGGCAAAATACGAACAGCTGTAGCGGGTAGTGGGATAGGGTTCGCCGATCAAATTACGCTCAGGACACAAGTAGCCAGCAGGGGGCATCGGAAGCTTGTGTGAACGCACTTTGATGTACCCAGCAACGTCAGCGAACGTGCGCCCACGCCAGAGGCGATCAACCACAGGAACAAAGTACGTAACAGGTCCTGCTGGATACCTTGTGCATGGCCTTGCGCATGCCGCCCGTTGGCTGGGTGACAGTATCGCTCCTCAGGTCAATCGTTGGTCGCCCCGGCCACAGCCCACGCCTCTCGCTCATCATCACCACGAGGCCTGCTCGTCCCGCCGTCCTTACCGACTGCAACCCCGCGCTGCGGTGCGCCTCGATCACTCGCAAGCTGCTGCTGACAACGAAGGCCTCCGCGGTGCCAAGGTAGGCCAAGAGCAAGGCAACCAACGCCGGGGACCTCCGTGATAATGGAGGCCTTGGTGCCGCCATCGACACCCCCTCGGGCGAGCTAGCGCAGCAGGCGTCTCGGCGGCATCGTCGCTTGCCCTTGCTCGACATGGTTGCCCTGACTTGTGCTAACAACGCCGTTCGGTTTGTCCGTGTGTGCGTTTGTGCAAATCTTGCTTGCGTCAGTTTGCCCTTTGCAAACGTTGATATTGGCCAATGGTATATCACAAACACAATATCGTTATTCTCATGTACCATCGATATTGGAAGGCCGCTTCTGAGAGAGACTGACAACGCCTCTTGATGGTGTTGAAACCTTTTCAAAAATCGCGCCGCACCTTGCCGAGAGGCAGCTCTCCCCGACCACGCGCCTCCTCCTTTCTATCCATCTCGCTCTCCTCTTTCCGGCACAAAACCGAGGTAGTGGGCGACACCCGCGGCGGTACTCCTGCGCACCGAAGGAATCATGACTTCCGCCGAGCCGAGGCGGAGGCGCGACGTGAAATCCCTAGACAGAGAAAAAAGCATGTCCCCGCTCGACAAAGACCAGCTCAAGCGGAGGTGCCTCGAGAGGGTTCGCACCGAACGCAGCCGCCTCATGGCACGAATGCGAGGCCGGAAGGGCACGGAGGAAGAAGCACGGCAGCTCTTCGGCCATGCTGGTGGGAATTCCGGTTCCCCGCTCACGGCTGCAGCGGCGCAGGGAGAAAACCTGTCCTCTCCGGGGCACCACTCGCTGTCCTCCGCCAGGGAAATCCTAAGGGAAGGCTTGAGCGAGCTGTCGGGCGGAAATGGCGACACCAACAAGCGACGTCGCCAACAGCATCACCCCACGAATCACGAGCGAACAGCGCTAGGTTGCGAAGAATTCGGAGCAAGTCTTACACGGTTAGATAGCAACGGCGGAGGGAGACGGCTGCAGCAGCAGCAGCAGCAGCAGCAGAAGCAGCAGCAGAAGCAGCATGCGGGGGGGAGCGAATCGTTGTCATTCCTCTCGGCGATAGAGGAAGAGAACGCCAGCTACCTCAACGCCTGCGCGCGTGGGCAGGGGGGCTCTCTGCAACAGCGCGGGCCGCGGGATGGCACCGCGGCTGAGCTGGCACCGATGTCGATAAGCTTCCGGGAACAAACCCAAGGGTTTGTGGAAGGGAACAACGATGAAGATGATGCGCTTATGGCCCATGATGACGGCCACGCACAACAACCTCGGCAGCCGCAGCAGCAGCAGCAGCAGCAGCAGCAGCAACCGGAGGCGATGGTGGACGAGGACGAGCTCGGGTGGGGTGACGGCGGCGGGGCGGAGGACTGCTGCGACGAGGAGAATCTGCTCTCGCCCGACGAGTACCTGGAGATGATGCAGTACATTGAGGAGGCTTGCAAGGAGGAAGACCTCAGGGCCGAGGCGGCGGTGAGTCTTTCCGTCTGCAGCCTCTTTGGAACACCTAACCTGTTCACACTGCACTGTTGTTTTTTGTCTGCCCATCTGCCGCCTCTTTGTCCTGTTTGCTCCGTTACTCCCATGCCCTGGTGCGTAGTGCCTGGTGCTGGCACGTTACCCTTTGGTTTTTTCTTGAGGCGGGTGTGGGAAGCGTCCTCCTTTATTTTTGTTCTTGTTGTAGTTTTGATCGGTTTCCGAGGGCTCTTTTCTCGAACGGTCGGTGCGGTACCTGTTATTTTCTTTGTATCATTTTGTTTTCTTTGTATCATTTTGTTTTCTTTTTCCGAGTGGTTTGTACCCTATTTTTGTTTTGTTTCCCCGCGGCGTAGTATGTGACGGGTTGTGAGACCACGTGCTCCCCATTTTTTGTGGACAATAGAGCTAATGTGAGAAACAACAACAACAAACAACTGCAGCAATGACGGAATAGGACTGATCTGCGCCTGCAGGGATGCCTGCACTTCGGACCATGGCCAAGAGGTGGATAAGCTGGTTCAATCGGCTGATGTGCTACTCCTTAGATAATAGACTTCGCAAGACAAGCTGCGGTAGACTACGCGTTCGAGATACTTCCCAGAAAGGATGTGTTGAATTCTAACAACGGTGAGGATTAATTGCACCTGCGGGAGACTGAACTTGGTTGACTTTGTTAAAGGTCCTTACACTATCTTGAGACGATTGTCAGCACTTTGGGCCTTATTGTAGTAGGCAACGCAGAGGTTGATAGCAGCGACAGGAATAATGCAGCACGTTTGATCGTCATCACTTTGTTCTCCAAATTGCCGTCCGTCCCGCTCGTTCCGTCGAATGTGGCAAAACTCAGGTTCTCGAGGACTACGAACTTACGAGACGCTTGGAGGAGGAAGAGGTGGAGTATGCGGTAGCGAGTCTCGATGATATCAACGGCAATGGTCAGGTGGGCACTATTCTGAAAGTACTCGCGCGAAAGACGGAGGTATCTCATATTGTGACCATGAGTACTGTAGGAACGCTGCAGAAGTTCCACGCCGAATCAACGAGTGTTAGTTTCCGGCTTAGCGGGAGATTTTAGACATAGCGGATGGTGTGTAAGGTGACCAGTGTGCTCCTGTTGTACGATAAAGCATAGGGAAAAAACATACGAGCGAACCCGCTCGCTCGCTCAAAGACTCATCGCTCAATCCTGCAGTGATGCGAATACCACCGGAACTTCGTTGCTACTGCCATGCGTATCGTGTTCCTCTGAGAGTACCAAGGCCTCGCCTCGCTCAGCTTGGTTAGCCGTGTGATCCTTCCAATCTGTCTCTCAGCGCTCATTTCATCCCGAGCAATATCATGCGCATGGGCGGGGATCAAATGTACTCGCACGCGTCACCTCCGTCTCAACCTCAACCCAGGATGACGCGGTTCTGTGCCCCGTCTGCAAGCACGACTACCTTCTCCACCCCGGCCCGCCTTCGGCTTCCATCGTCTGCGCGTGCGGCTTCCGCCTAGACACGGGTGGAGATCGCCTCGGCCTGGAGCACTTCAAGCAGCAGCTGGCGGATACCTACAGCGAGCACAGGCGAGCAAGCTGATTGGTCGGATTTGTTCCTCCTTTTTCGGTGGCTAATGCCGCCTTGTGGCCTTGTTTTGGTGGTCTTCTTTTTTACCCTTCGGCGTTGAGTATCGCCTTCGAACTATGGTGGCACATAGTATTCAGGAGCAAATCGTGAAAACACGTCTTGAGCTGTAACTTCGGCTTTATGACCCGCAGAAACGTAAACGATAGCGCATATTGACGACAAGGGAGGCGCCGACACGATGAAAAATAACAAAACATAATCACTTGAGTTATGTGAAGGTGTATGCCTGGTCAGAGAGGCAAAATTTCTTACCAGAAGTCAGCACCCAACCATGCCGAAATTCCACGTTTATCTACACCCTTCTGGCGTGTAGTGGCGGGAAATGATCCCATGACGAAGGCAGTGATGATAAATGTATGTCACAGAAAAACTAGCTGTGTAAATTACATGTAAATGAAGCTGCATTCGTCGGAAATCCTGTTCAAGATTGGTACAAAAATGGGGTTGACCAGCAAAAATGGCGAAGCACCAAAGCAAGGCCAACTGAGAGCCATACTGTCACGTGGGCAATCCGCGTGCAATGTCAAAACTTGTTTGTTGTTGGACCACACATAAACGCGCAGAATCAGGTCTCACTTACGTCGTTGCCGTCACCCCCCTCCCACCCCGAACTTTCCTGCTCGATCTCCTCCCCGACCCCATCCTCGACATCATCCACTGGCGACACGTCGTCTGTGTCGTACCCTGCCGGAACATTGAGAGCGCCTATCGTACCAGAAAGCACCGTATCACCATCCTTGACCCACTTGTTCATCTCCCCGATGGCGTGTGCCTCCAGATTTGAATAGTTGGCTGCCTTCCAGCCCCCCTTTTGGCCTGCCCATGCCGGGTCCCCGTACCAACCCTTACGAATCTGCACCCAGACCTGCTGCATCTTTCGCTTCAACTCGAAGTTCAGACTGACATACTGCTTGCCATGCTGCCAAAAAAGCTAGATAGGTTGGAAAGTGGGCATGTACGGCGGCGTCCAAATCAACTCCCACCCCTTCTCACGCATGAACGTCTCCACCCGTTCCTCGAGCTTTTCAGGGTGGTTAAGGCGAAAGTATTCTCGAGTGGCCGTCGCCACCTCTTCTCTACTTACGCCGCCCTCCCGTCTCGCATCTGGAAGCGTGGAACCCTCGTCTGTAGGCACCTCAAACCTCTGCTGCACAACCCTGCCGTTAGCGGCTGCACGCTTAACCTTGATCGACCGAACTCCATACCTACGCAACAGCTCGACATTGTACTTCTTGGTGTTGGTTTCCGGTACTTTGACTTCCGCGTCAAATCCTTGGTGGTACGAGGCATTGTCGCGAACAAGAATCATCTTCTTGCCCTTGAAGTCAGGGACCGCGTTGTATGCGGGACTAAGTCGGCGTTCAAGCCACTCCATGAACATCGAGTCGGTCATTGCTGCGTGGTAATCACCCTTCGCCAACTTGGCCTGCCAAAGAAACTCTGCTGTCTCTTCATCTTCCAAATTGAAGTCCTTACCCCCGCGCTTTCCCTTGCCGCCACCCTTGCTTTTGAACCAACCCTCTTCGATTGGAAACCCATCGCAAAGCTTGGCCAAAGGACCCCACTTCGTGATTGCGTGCACCATGATCATGCGTAAGCCCTTCCCCGTTGTGCGACCAATCCCATCCTGCACAACTCCATCCTCGTCAGAAGGAAAGTACGAATACGGGGAACCATGGGCCTGGTGCACAAAACTCTCATCCATGTACACGATGACTGCCAGTCCAGCATCCTCTGCCCTCTTTGCGATGTCCATTTCGACAAGAAACCGACGGATACGAGCAAGCCTGGCTGCATCCAACCGTGGCGTTTTGATCCTGCCTCTACGACGCTTGTACCCGAGTCTACTCAGCAGCCCGCCTACCGAACGGTTCGACGGCTGCTCCTCGAACCCGCAAGTCCTGTGACACAGCGCCGCCGGTCGTCCTTCTTCGTGGTCTTGCCTCTCCCCGCGGAGGTGGTCTCGTACAACTCTCGGTGTTCCCACCAGTGGTTGTTGACGAGTCTGACCTTCTCGTGGCCGATCTTGAATGTGTTCGCCACCTGCCAGTATGAATCGGTTCCGAGAAGAGGACCGCGCAACAATGCTCGTGAGGAGGGGTGTTTCGGGCACACGTGTTGCACGATACATCGAGCATACTTATTCTGAGTTTTTTTCACCTACAGTATACTGTGCAATATTTACTGCTGTAAAGTACTGCTGTAAAGTATCGCTGCAACCGCTGCAATCTGTAATACTGCTGCAACACTGCTGTATACGGTTGCAAGGTGTCCGGCTGCTTGCTGTGTCAACAGGGTTTATATATTGAACGGAAAATTACACCTTGTGTACTTTTTGTTTACACTTTTCATGCACTTTTCATACACTTTTCAATGACTCTAATTTCTATTTCTATGTACACAATTAAAAAAAAAAAACGTTGACCCTCACAGCTGCGACTGACCCGCAATATCGCCTCGTTCTCAGATTGGCCGTCCTTGCGAAGTGAGATCAGCAGCAGAAGGATCATCCTGGACTGAGTCTTGCACAGGGTTGACCCAGTCTTGGGCTTCACCCGTTCCTCAGACTCTTCCAGATACAGCGACGTCTTCGGAGAGAGCCTCGTCACTGCAGCTGCGGCAGCCCTCTCGACGCTCTCCTGCTCCCGCCGTTGAGCTGCTTCCAGCTTCGCGGCGTCGCGCTGCTCCTTCCTGGTGATGGCAGCTTCCTTGGCTTGGACAGCCCTCTCTCTCTCCGCCACCTTTGCTGCGGCAGCCTCGAGCTCTGCTCTCTGGCGCTCGAGGTCCGCCCTAGATCTATCAAGGTCCGCGTAACTCCTCGCTGCTGCTGTTTTGGCCCTTTTCGTCTCACGACGCGGGCGGCCGACAGGAGTGCGGCATGGCGACTGCGTATCCCGCGCGCACGCGCGTCCCTTTCGCCGTGTCATGGCGGATACTTGACTACCCCCTCTTTGACCGCCCGTTTCTCGACAACGGCTGGGTTGTTTTCAAAACTGTTCTGGTGGTCCGGAGCGAAAACTCACGTAGAAAAAAAAAAGTTCCATGTGCTGGCATGATTTGGTTCGCCCGAACCGGCAAAATTATTCCCGTTCTAAAAAGTAGTCAAAAAGTACCCTGTGTTCGCCGGCAGCTGCTGTGCGTTTTAGGTGGCTGACGAGGGCAAACCCAGGCTCATTCGAAAGCTATGGTCATCTTCTGTCGTTGAGTATGCCGTAGGCTAGCATGCGGTGCAGATGTTTTAGTTTTTTGCCTCTCCAAAGCCAAAATTGTGTCTGCTGTAGAGAAAAAAAAGCAAAAATACACAAAAAAAAAAACGGGAAAAAAAAAACAGGGAAAATTTGCTCCTGAATACTATGTGCCTCCGTAATATATCAATTTTTCAATCTTTCGAGCTCGGCGTTGTGAACGATGTCATGCTGGTTTTTGTGTTTCGTGAATCCCTTGCTGCTTGTGGGTTGGGGTTTTCAGGACACGGCGACCATCACGTCGCGTCCCTGTCACGGCCGGTCTCCAAACCCCAAGTCACGGGTCATGTGACACGTCATTTTGCTGCGCGTACGCAGATGATTTCTGTCCCCACTCCATCCCCATGTATCGATAGCGTAACCTGTTCGTATTCTTCTTCGTGTCTCCCGCCTTGCTTGCCCCCCGCAGCACCGCTTGCAGCGCGGAGCCTAGCTTTGTGGTACAGGGCGCGCCTGGCTTCGACGTCCTTTGGAGTTCGTGTGACGGATGCGGCTTCGCCAGGGTCGTCCTCTGACTTAGCCGAGCCGCCTGCTGCTGCTGCTGCTGCTGTCGACCGCGTGTCCCCTCCTCCTGCACGAAACGTTTTATCGCCCACGGTATCAAGACTTGCGCCCATTTTTTCTACCTCGCAGTAGCTGGTTATTTTTAAGAGGAGAAGAAGGCAGCCTCGGCCCTCCACGTGGGGTGGTGGTTGTTGGCCGTTCGAAGCTTATTGTGCGCTGGGCCCGAAGAGCGGCAGGTCTTGTGCGTGTGTACGGTGGGGCAGCTTATCTCTCGGACGCTGAACGAGGGGTTAGGTCGTGAGCGTGTGCGAGTAGGGCATGGGTGATGCATTCGGTTACACCGAAAGCTCCATGTCCGAAATTATTTCCTGTGTGAAGCGACCCCATGAGCCCCAGCGACGGTAGAACAAGTCCTGGACGGGCCACGGGCCCACATCTCTCGGGTACCACAGACAACCAATGCAGAGGCGTTCAATCAGATTTGTAGGGGGAGGTGGACAGGAGCCAAGGCGAAACGGCAACAACAGTCATCCAAAATGGTGTTTAGGAGTCCGCTACTCGTCTGTTTACGACGGCGGCGGCGGCGGCAGTTTTCACTCACACTCAAACCGTCCGATATTCTTTTGATTTCGGGAAGTTCTCGTTCACTTTCGAGTGGCTCCTTTGTCGTCGACCAAGAAGTTTGCTCCATACGTGCGTGTTCAAATGCTGGTGGGCGTCCTAATGTGGACGTGGCGGCCAGCGGGAATCGCTTGAATCGCCATTTAGTATTATGAGCATTGTGATGTGCACCTTGTTTCCAGATGCTTGTCATGTGTCATACGGTGGGCTCCCGCGAGTCCTCCGCTCACAAGGTGCGTCAGGCAGACCCGCCAATAAGGAATGGTCCCCCAGCAAACGTTCCCGTGTTTGTCCGTAGTTGTGATACAACAATGATTTCGCACGGGTGGTTTGATCCCTTCCGCAACTCCGAACATCTGCTTTCGTTCGTTTGTTTTTGTTCGCCCAGATGTGGGTCCTCGGGGACATACATGATTGTATGACATGTGGGTCTCCTGGAACCCCGATACCTGCAGGAAGAAGAGAAAATCTTCGCGAGTTGATGTGCTTCCGTGGCAAAAGTTGAGGGGTTTGAATTAACTCGAAATAGACGCGTGGACGTTTGCGCTTTTGGGGCGCGGCAACGTTGGTTACCATGCCCTCTTCATTCCTTCGGGCGAGCGTACAACCGACATTCTTCACGGTGTCTTGGGGCCAGAATCGACCAAATACGTCATTTTTCGAATCAAGCCACGACACTAGAACTTTGGGCACATGCTCCTTGGCCGCCGCAGCGGCGGAACAAGCACATACTGTACAGACACGGTAGACTTTTTATGCAAGGGACTTGGAAGCATGTGCACTTCACAGGTGGAGGTCGACACCCCCAAAATGTCGGATGCCCTCGCCCCCTTGTGACGACCTTGACAAGGTACAACACCTTGGAGCAGACAACCAAGGCCTCGACAGTACTGCGACACTTTTGGGAAGGGGGTTCGACCTCCACCTGTGAAATAGCTTTTGAGGGTCCTCTTGGACCCCTGAAAAAGCGGCAACTCCCGTAACACCGACTGCATGTATTATCCAACTTTGTTGTAGCAGGCATCCCTGACGCGCTGCCAAGTTCGAGGGGAGGCTGAGCGATTTCACCCATACATACAACAGGATATATTTATCGCGGAGCTCTCTTTCGAGGACGGGGAGCATGTACGGAAGTTCCAGCTGACATCCCGACAACGCTATTGGCCGCACCACAAAATTGCTGCCTTTTCGGGAAATGACGACATTACCCGAACGATAATCTTCTTTAATATGTAATCCGTTTTACTCATGTTCCGGTTGCCACGACAAACACTTCGAAGCTTGGGGAGCGTGTCGCGTTTCACAATCGTTTCGATACCGCACAAATTGGTCGCTGAATAACCGAGACGCTTTGTCGACGCCCACGCGCAACCTCCAGGTTTTGGAACAAAGAAACCGTGTTCCTCTGCCGGTACTGGTCACTGCGATATGAAAAATATGAAAACTAGTACCCCATGGGTAGCCCCGGTCTCATCTCAAGTCCATTTCATCTTTCGGTAGTGGGCAGACATGAGAATAATTGAACGATCAAGTGCTCATTGCGCTCGGTTCTCGTGGGGGACTAAAAAGTCGACCCCCAGCTTGTGCCGCTGTCGTACTACGCTGGCCTCGCCTGCCACAAGCGCATACGCTCCGATTCCAAAAACCGACACCATTATGAATACAAGGATGTTGACTCACTCATCACAAGCCCTTACGCTGCTGCAACCAAGACAGGAGGCGATGAGAAACACAAAAAAAAAGCGGACAGAGGCGTTTAGCAAGGCGTGACGTTTTATCACACGCTCCCTGTCTGATTCCATCCCCCCCGTGTTATAGCCGCCCCCATCGAAATCACGCACATTATAGCTAGTACTTTGACGTTCCTGCGATAGGAAACCAAGGGAATATCCACCAAAAACGCTAGCAGCAAGAATCGAACCCATAACAAGCAACACATGAAGCCACGAACGGGGCCCGAGCTCTCCCCATTTCCCGCGTGCCCGAGCCCCCAATTCTCCCACGCCCCCTGCCCCCCTGGAACGACATCACGCCAACCAAGGGTTTTCGAGTGTTCACAGGCAAAATCCTCCTGAACAATACCTAACCTGTTTAGTCTAGATACACTACATAACGTCGGCAAACTTGTCCCCCCGGACACATTCGCCCCTTCCACGGCGTGTGTCAAAACCACACGCCTCCGAATTCGCAAGGGGTGTGCATATTTCGCTCCCTCAAGGCTTCTCGGTCCATTCGACTGACCTATCCCAAAAGAGACACACCCCTTGAAGGGGGGTTGAGCAGTCCCTCCTCCTTCGCCGGAAACCCGGCTAGCATGTTTACGAAACCACCCCCTTTCGGCTTGCTTTCGAAAAGCCTCAGGGTTCCTTCCAACGCACCAAAAAAAAGCTTTTGTCAACCATCATCAAGAATATTTTTTTCAAAAACTGAGTGTGCGACGCCGATCGTAGGTATTCCAATAGTCGCCGCACGCAACCAGTCATTCGTGGGATCCCGCATCGTCTATCGAGCCACTCGAGCTCGGGGACAGGGCTTCGAGCCAATCCTTGCAGACGGTCAACCACTCGTCTTCTACCGACCCGTAGGACAGCGTCCGGATCAGGATCTCTTCCGGCATGAGCCGGAAGGTCAATCCTTGGATCTTGCGACCTTCGAGGTACTCCCTATTATTGTACAGGAGGCGAGAGAAGTGGGGAAGGGAGGGAGAGAGAGTGTGAGGGAGAGGAAGGGACGGAGAGGGAGAGAGGGAGGGAGGGAG